AGAAAGACAGCTACAGAAGTGACCTTGCACTGGCGCCTGGCAAAGTCTTATCTTCTCTTTCCTTTCCCTGACTCATGCTAACGCCTGAGGGCGGATCTAAGGCTCCGATTCTCTGACTAACACGGACGCCTTAGAGAGACACACAGTCTCTTCCTGAATGCCGAAACGGGAAGACCGGCTTTTCTCTCTGGAGAACAGCCGAGGCTGCAGGTCTGACTCAAGAGCCAAATTGAGTAGAACCTGACGGCCGGACAGGAGCAAGCCGCTTCCTGTCCACCAGAGACATAGTCTCACAAAAAGTGTTTTTACCTCCGAGGGGAGACTTTTATTTTGAAGGACGACCGGAACCACAGCTGGAATCTTTCTAGCTGGGCTGAAACGGACGAAAAGTCACCTTAAAACACCTTTTCGCCAAGAACCAGCTGGGACAAGCTTCCTGGGGGGTCGTGGTGAGACAGTTCATACCAGGGGTGCTTGAGCAGCCATCAGCAGGTAATGCTGACGTGTTCGTTGGTGACGTGTCAAGTGAAGTCTGAGCGCAGAGAGGACGTGCTAATCCGGTTGTCACAGACTTTCCAAAATAAAAGCAGAAAGACTAATCCTTAATTTTCTTACCTTTTCTTACCCTATCCTTTGCCAACCCTAAGTGAAAGTGCCGGTAAATTGTTTAGTTTTAACATCAGAACTGACGTTTACTGTCTATATAAGTAATCTGAGTTAATGTGAAAGAAATTCGGACGCGGGTTTTATCTCATTTACTTAGACGCTTATTATAGGAAATCCACAATCAGGTGTAAACTATGATTTTGTTCAATTTGTGTAAATAAATGATTGCATAATCTTTTATGAATCAACTTGAACTCGTCTGACATTCCCTCATTGTGTCACACTTCACTTTGTACAGACAAATATTAAAGTAATGAGGAAAAACCTTGGTAAAATTTTCTCACATAACTTTGTTATGGGAAGATGTAGGGGAACTTATTTTACATAAGTAACTCTCCCTTACAGATGCCTTGACTTTTTAGAATTATGTTTTGTATAGTGGTATTAATTTATATTTTCAGATCTTCCAAGGTGCCAATTATGGAACTCTCTGTGCAATGCTGCCCAAATCTAATTCTGGAAGTGGTCATTCAACTAGATCTGTTACAAAAGGACAACTGATATTACCAACTTTTAAAAACTGTTACGGCCAGAGGTCTTTCTTCTATGTTTATACTAAAGCATGGAATGACATTCCTC